CCCAGTTTTAATGCATACAGTTCCAAGCCCAGGAATACTTTTTAAGTTCTACCCATTCTATTTTTGAGTAGCCTCATTACTCCCTAAACTAACATGGCAGCCTCACTCAGACATCATTTCTTTTAACTCAATTGCTTCAAGCAGTTAATTGGGTTTCTAGCTTCCTTTCTAAGTTTCCCCCATAATATGCAGCATATACATCCAGGGCCCTCAAAATACTACGTTGATCTAGATGAAACTGAGATTTTTCACCAACTGTCCCCTTCCCACGGCATGCACCCCTAAGGTCAGTCCTCAGGACATCCCCTCCCTCCTGCAGCTCTTGGAGATCAGTGGGAGGGGGGAGGCAGGAAAGTTCTGTGTCACTGATGGAAAATTAGTCTGGATCCAACCCAGTCTGATAAATGAGATGGCAAGGCATTAGAGAGAAGAATAGGGAATGCAGGAAGAAGATACAGTCTGCGGTATGTTCTATTTCTTAATGTTGACACAAATTCAAAGACACGAAGAGAAATCATGTGAATATTTACTAGGGTGTTAACTTCCACCCATTTCAACAGGCCTTATTTCCCAGTAAGTGTGTATAGGATTCATAGTTCAGAATCTTGCTAATCCATTTAACCTGATTAAGACTTCTGTAAATTTCAAAAAAGTGTTTTAAGACTTCTGTAAATTTCAAAAAAGTGTTCTAATTATACTTCTACCCCAAGAGAACTTGGTCTTTAAAGAAACAGTGGGCACTACTTTATTTATTCTACACTTCTAGAAAGATGTTTACTGTAAAGCTGCCAGTTTCTCATTTTCCAGGCTTCCGACTTCCCTGTGGTATGTTGCAGGAGGCTCTGTGCTCAGGGGAGAAACAGCTTGAGATGCTGCTGGTTTTAGGCCTTTGGCTTCCTGCTGTGCATAAACAGCTGCCAAAGTAGCTATTTCCAATTCAGAGCGCCCCCCCCCCCAATTTCTGATTCACCTTGCAGTGCTGAAGCCAGGAAGACAGCTCTTCCCCAGCCCCCTGCTGTTACCTCCAAAAACTTGGCCAGCAGACTGCTGAATGGAAGGAGGGAAGCTCATGTTCTCCCTCAGTACCAAGCAGCATATTTACTCTTACAGGAAGAGAAATGAAAAAGAGGGTCAGAGGCCTGAATTCCCAAATCTGACCTGCAGTGAACTGCAGGCTCTTTGCAGGACACTGAAAAACTACCAATGTCAGCTGACCTGGGGCCATCCTAGGATAAAATAGAGATCAGAGAAGCAACCATGGGAGCCACTTGTACACAGACAGTGCTTACGATCTGTTGGCCCCTAACAATCCTGAGGCCTGCCATTTGGAAATTTCAGTTCATGCTGTTGCAGAGCCTGACAGATTTATAATCCTGAGAGAGAAATTTCATTCACAACAGAGAACCAGTGTGCATTCACTGACACTGAGACTCAAAATTGCTACAAAAGATGAAAAGGAATCGGCACCTTAAAGTCTAACAAAAAAGTCTAAGAGAACTAGAACCCAGTTCTTCAGATGCAACCTCAAATAGCTATGTGCTTGCCCCTAACTATTAGCATCCCCCTTCTCAGCAAACTACTGATAATGGGCCACATGAATATTTAAGACCCTTGGTTTGTTCATGTTTAGCTTAGATCAGCCTTATATTGGCAATTCGATCTTGTACACATCCAGAGATAACACCCCCGTGACACAGCTATTTGCTCCAAAAAAAACCTGGAAGATCTATAAATGAAAAGAAATCTGCTACAGGTACATATTAATCCTTAAATGCACTATCTGCTCATTTCTCCTTTGTGCAAAGACTTGGGCTCACATGTGTGCACACAATCCTCTGCCCACCTTCCCTCCAGTAACAGAGAACACCTGGGTTCTCTTGGAAGACTGCTATAAGTATGAGCAAGCCCTCTCACTATATAAAGGACTAGCAGTAAAGCCCATTGTGAAAGCAATACAACGAGATCTAGAAAGAGGCTCTGGGGCAGTGCTCTGGCTTTGGGCAAACAGTGTCAATTTGCTGTGGTGACCTCAGCAGGGTATAATGACAGAGTCCACTGTTTTCTCCAGAGGAACTGATCTCTGCTACCTGAAGAGCAGTTGTAATTGTGAGTGATCTGTAGCCCTCACCTGGAGATTGGCAGCAATTGTTACCCAGGACAAAATGGCTGGTTTGGACGGTGTAGTCTATGGCATTCTACCTGTCTGAGGTCCCACCCCTCTGCAAACCCCACCCTCTCCAGGCTCCACCCCTTCAAATCCCTAAGAATTTGTCAGCATGTAGTTGGCAACCCCATCTCCTTCCCAGCTAGCCACCAACCTACCATTATCTGCCCCTTTGACTTCAGCTGACTTCTGCCCTCCCTTCTGCAGAACAGTTGTAATACTGAGTGCTCTCCAGCCCTCACCTGGAGATTGGCAACAATGGTTCCCTATGTGGGACTGACTGGTTTGGAGGGTGGAGTCTATGGCAGTGTACCTGTCTGAGGTCCCACCCCTCCTCAAACCTCACCCTCTTCAGGCTCCATCCCTCAAATCTCCAGGAATTTCCCATCTGGAGTTGGCAACCCTATCAGGACTGGCCCCAATGTGTTTTCTCCCAAAGGCCAAAGTAGGTGACAGGACCAAGCTTAGTTGCCTACCAACAGGCACTGAGGGGAATGTAGGGTTGCCAGCTCTAAGGAGGGAAATACCTGGAGGTTTGGGGGGTGGATTCTGTAGAGGGCCGGGCGACGGAGGCATCGGCCTTCTGTCGCCCGCCTTGCCCCCCCAATCTCGGCCCGGGCGACCGCGGCTCCCGCCAGCG